CTGCACCTGCTTGCATGTGCTTTAATCCACTGAGCTATTTGGCTGGCCCTTACTTTTTCTTTAATGTATTTAGTACAGGGTCTGCACAGTCTCACTACATGGATTGGACTCATAGTGATTCTGTTTTCAGCCTCTCAAGAACTGGGATTTCAGGTGTGCCCACCACACCCAGGCTCAATCCCATCACAGTGTTCCAGGGCCGACATTTTACTTTTTCATTTCTTTTTGGTGGAACCAGAGATTGAACTCAGGCCCTTGCTCTTGCCAGGGAAGCACTTATTCTACTGAGCCATCTCCCTTGCCCCTTACTTTTTCAAATAAACTTTGCCACTGCTTTTTGCTCCTTTCATTCAATTCTTTGTCTGATTTGGGAAGAACCTGGAATTCAACTCCAGATGAAGATGTGAGCAACCCCAAACCTAGTAACCTTTAGTTGATGAGCCACTTTTTTTTTTTTTCTATTTTTTTGAGACAGGGTCTAGTTATGAATTCAGGCTGGCTTTAGGTTTACTACTTTGTAGCACGGGCTGGTCTTGAACTCTCAATGATCCTCCTGCCTCAGCCTCTCTAGTGCTGGGACTATAGGCATGAGCCACCACAGGTGGTGAGCCACTTTACAAAAGCAAGCTACCTGATAACCCTGGGCCGGGGAGATGGCTCAGTAGAATAAGCGCTTCGCAAGGGCCTGAGTTCAATCCTTGGCTCTGAAAAAACAAAAACAAAAACAGGGCCAGGAGGGCTGGCCTGATAGCTCAGCGCACTAAAGCGCCTGCTTAGGCAGACAAGACGAAGACCCATGGAGCTGAGGATTTGATCCCTGGCCTACGCACTGAGACCTGAGACCAGGACACAATGAGCACACTGAGACCAGGGCGTGTGAGGCACATGCCTGTAATCCCAGCGCTTGGGGGGCTGAAAAACAGGAAGGATCACTACAAGTCCTGTGTAGTGAGACCCTGTACTAAATACATTAAAACAACAACCACCAAAACAAACACACACACACACACACACACACACACACACACACACACAGGACCAGGGGATACAGCTCAGTGGAGGGTAAGTGCAAGGATCCTAAGTTTGATACCCAGTATGGAAAAAAAAAAAAAAAAAAAAAAAAAAAAAAAAAAAAACCAAAAACAAACAAAAAGCAGCCATAAGAAACTAATACACCTACAGGGAGATGGCTCAGTAGAATAAGCACTTCCCTGGCAAGCACAAGGGCCTGAGTTCAATCCCTGATTCCACAAAACAAAAACAAAAAAACGAAAGAAAGTAATATACTTAGGAGAATGGTGTTGGGCAAGGGATGGGAAGAGGTACTGCAGAGGCCTGAGAAGTAAGTCCAAGGGCATCCACAGACTTCAACTGTCACTGGATGTCCAGCAGATTCTTGTAGCTAAGGAAACTACCCACCCTCTTGGAAAATAAGTTTGCAGATTAACTGACTCCCATCACAGAAAATAAGAGGCACAGGAAGGATTTATTAAGCAGAAACCGAAAAAACATACTCAGAGAAAGTGGGCCCTTAAAAGAGAAAAGGCATTCTATAAGGTGGAGCTGGATCTTAGAGTATATTTAAGAAGAAAACTGAGTCAGGCTCAGGATGCTGTGGTTCGATGCCCAGATACTCAAGCCAAACCAGATCTGCCATAAAGGCATTCTGAGGTGGCAAAAAAAAAAAAAAAAAAAAAAAAATTCTTCTACCATTTGGGGGGGAGGGGAGATAGCTCAGTGGTCTAAGCGCCTGTCTAGCAAGCACAAGGACCTGAGTTCGATTCCCAGTACCACATACCATCTGAGCTGTGTAGCAAGGCCTTTGTACCAAATGAATGAATGAATGAATGAATGAATGGGGAGAAAACTTTCAAATAAATAAATGAATGAGGGGGGAGAAAACTGCCCCGAGACTGGGTGTGGTGGTGCATGCCTGTAATCTGGGGCTGAAAAAAAGAGGATCACTACAAGTCCTATCTGTGTAATAAGACCCTGTACTACATACATTAAAAATAATAATAATGATTATTTATTTGAGACAAGATCTCACTATGTAGTTTAGGCTAGCCTTAAACTCCTGATGATCCACCTGCCTCAACCTCCTGAGCGCTGGGATTGCAGGTGTATACCACCATGTATAGCTTACAGTAGAACTTTAAAATCCTGCTCTAGGGCTGGGGATTTAGCTCAGTGGTGCAGCAGCTGCCTGGCAAATGTGAGGTCCTGAAAAAAAATCCTAGTCTACTCATGCTGGCACATGCCTGTAATCCCAGCACTCTGGAGGCTGAGACAGGAGGAGCACTGAGTGTTCAAGGCCAGCCTGGGCTACAAAGTGAATTTAAGGCCAGCCTGAACTGCATTCCAAAACCTTCTCTCAAATAGACCCCCCCCCAAAAAAAAATACCCTAGGTTTTTTCCTTTGCTCATTTTTACAATTTCTTTTTTCCTATTTCACAATGAACAGTGGACATGTGGGCCTGAGCCCTGAAGATAGGCTGGGCCCTGCTGTTGGCTCTGTACATGGCACAGTAGGATCAGACCCTCACTCAACAAGCATTGGATAGCACTTCCTGTAGGCCAGACCTTGAGACAACTGGGGGTAGGTAGGAAGAGGAAGTCTATCTACAGAATGAGAACAAGGACGAAGGCCAACATCAGGAGGTGCCACTGTGAGGGCAAAAGAACCCAAGAGTCTTGAGTCCCTTGTGTAGCACATAATCCAGATCCTGCAGCTGTCAGGACTGTGTTGGAAAAGTGACTTTTGCCATCATGCTTCTACCCAGTATTAACGTAATTCCCTCAAGAGGGGCATTTGGGAGCCAACTCACTCTCAAGAACTGGCACTTCTGACCCCAATAATAATCTGGCCTGGGGCCGGGGAGATGGCTCAGTAGAGTAAACGCTTCCCTGGCAAACGCAAGGGCCCGAGTTCAATCCCTGGTTCCCCCCCCCTCAAAAAAAAAAAAAAATCTGATCTCAACAAATTCAACTTTGGCTACCCACAGAGATGTTGTCCCTCAAGGTCCTAGACTGATACCAGCTCTGACACACATACTTTCCTGGGAAAACATCTTTATTCGATGACCTCAGCTCAGCCGCATCCACTGCTTCTCTGCCAGGCACTGACCTCAATCAATATTCAGGGAAGGTGTGTGGTCTACCTGGTATCTAGTGCACAGTGACGAACATTACAGATGAGTATCAACCTGGGGTTAAGTACTATTAAACACAATGCTGTTTGCAGGGCACCATGGGCATTCCTTAAAGCAGCTCCATACAATGTGGAGACAAGATGATTTCATAGTGCAGTAGAATAAGCACTAGCCTGGCAAGTACAAGGTCCTGAGTTCAATCCCTGGTACCACAAAAATAAATACAAATTTTAAAAAAAGAAATTCCAGGGACTGGGGAGATGGCTCAGTAGAGTGCTTGCCTGGCAAGCACAAGGGCCTGAGTTCAATCCCCGGTTCCGCCAAAAAACCCAAAAAAACAAAAAATTCAATCCCAGGTGAAGTCTGGGTGTTGAGGCACTCCTGGAATTCAGGTGGTACTCAAGGGGTTGTGACTTCGCATATGAAGGAGACACCCTCCCCCTCCTGGACCATGACACATGGATGGTGCTCAGCTGAAAAAGTAGGAGGTGGTGATGCAAAATGTTATCCTGGTAAACAAAGGCCAGGACCGGACATGGAAACCCACTTCAGGGGACCAGTTAGGGTCACACTCAACACCAGATATCACTAAACTTGCCAGGGCCATCTGAGCAGAAGCCCACTCCCGGACTCCCAAGGCCCCAACTATATGCCCCCCCTAGGAGGCTGTCCTAAGTGTTCGCCCTACATTAGCGCTCCTGAGCCCAAAGCTGGCCCTCTCTGGGTTAAACACACACCCTGGCCACCCTGACCAATGATGACCCTAGTCGTGTTTTCAACCACAGCCCTTAGTCTGGTCAGACTATTTTCCATCCTGGCCAGGGAGACATCTCGGGCCTAAGTATTTTCTGTAATTGTGCCTCGAGATGACCATGAGAGAAGCACCCTTGCGCCTGCTCACGTCGTCTTCAGGGACCAATGACTCTCCCACAGTCAATCCATACAACTCCAAGCAGGCAGAATTTGTCTTCTCACAAAGAAGCCCCGAGAGTCCCGGCATGGTGGCGCACACCTGCAATCCCAGCGCTGGGGAGGCTGAAAACAGGAGGCTCGACTACAAGTCCAGCGAGACCCTGTACCAAATACAAAGAAGCCCTGAACACCACGCAGCACCGCGCCACCCTACACCGCCATCCACTATCGCCCCGACTTCAATCCCAAACTCAGAACCACGGCCAGCGGGGCCACGCCCTCTCGGATCTCCTGCGGGACCCTCGCCCCTGAAGGCTCCTTAAGTGTCCACCGTGGCCCTTGTTTTCACCAGCGCAGGACTGAACGAAGGCTATCTTTAAACTCATGTCCTCATCTCTGTACCCACTCTTCAGGTGCCGAAGACCGCGCTGGACCTCGGCAGCGCTGCGCCAGGTGCGGCGAGAGCCCACGACTTCCGGGGCGGAGATGACAGATGAACCTTACGCCCACGCGGCCTGCGCACGTCACAATTACTAAGTCTTGTGGGCCTTTGCATTTCCCAACAGCGCCGCTGGTGTAGTGGTATCATGCAAGATTCCCATTCTTGCGACCCGGGTTCGATTCCCGGGCGGCGCACGTGTGGTTTTAGCAATTTTTTTCCCATCTTCAGAACAATTACCGATTACCGCAGATTTGGAGAAAAGATCTGAGAGACTGGTGGGAACGTTGGTTACCAGAAGGCCCGAACGAAACAAATAAGTATTCCCTAAGGACGAACTCTCTGGAATCGCCGGCACACCCTGCGTGACGGAGCCCAGGCCTACTAGAATCTCTAAACCAAGCGGGCACCCCCAAATTGCTTCCTTCAATCCGGGGGTCAATCCCCAGCCCAGCTGCCCCGGACCGCGGAGCCTTTAAGAGGCCGCGCGCAGGCTGCTGGGAGTCTTCCTTGCTGGCGGCGCGGCGCAGGCCCAAAGCTCCCGACGGGCCCCGCGCCGGAACCCGGGTACAAAGTCCATACACTCCATAGTGGTCCTGGCGGGACTGACACACGCCTGCTATGCTTGTGGCAGCGGCCGCAGAGAGGAACAAGGAACCCATCCTGAGCGTTCTTCGGCAGTACGTGGACCCAGCCCAGCATGGCGTCCGTGTGCTCGAGGTGGCTTCGGGCTCCGGCCAGCATGCAGCACACTTCGCGCAGGCCTTTCCGTACGCCGAGTGGCAGCCGTCCGATGTGGATCAGCGCTGCCTGGACAGGTGCGTCTGCTGCCCAGCCTGCGCGGGCCGTGAGGGTGGGCACGGGTCGGGGGTCGCGTGAGTGGATGGCTCTCTGCGGACCCTGCCCACGCGCCGCCTTCCGCAGCATCGCCGCCACAACTCAGTCCCAGGGACTGTCCAATGTGAAGGCCCCTCTGTACCTGGACGTGACCTGGGAGTGGCAGCAGTGGGGCGGCATCCTGCCACAGTCGCTGGACTTGCTGCTGTGCATCAACATGATCCACATTAGTCCCCTGAGCTGTACGGAGGTGAGTGGCAGCGGTAGCACCGTCTTGCTCAAAGTATGGCCTGCCCAGGGGCCGGGGAGATGGCTCAGTGGAATAAGTGCTTTCCTAGCAAGCGCAAGGGCCTGAGTTCAATCCCTGGTTCCATTAAAAAAGAAAAGAAAAGAAAAGAAAAGAAAAGAAAAGAAAAGAAACAAACAAAAAAAAAGTATGGCCTGCCCTACCCAGGGCTCTTCTTGGCTGGGAGAGGTGACTTGCTGCATCCTGCCTTCCCTTCCCCAGGGGCTCTTCAGAGCAGCTGGACACCTGCTCAAGCCCAAGGCTGTACTTATCACTTATGGGGTGAGTGGTCCTGCAGGGACCTTTGAAGCGTTAGGGACCTTCCTTACTGATCCACCTGGTCCTTGGCTTTCTCCTTCTTGGGGGTGGGAAGGAGTGTCCTTTTCATTCTGCAAGTCTGTCTCCCTGACCTGCTAAGGAGTGACAGCAGGGGCTTGTGGACTGTGTCAGCCCTGTCTCTGCAGCCCTACGCAGTCAATGGAAAGATTTCTCCCCAGAGCAACGTGGATTTTGACCTAACCCTCAGATGCAGGTCAGAATTGGGCAGGAAGGGGCCTGGCTCAAGTGGGATGGATGCCCCTATCTTCAACTATGACTCCACCATCTTTCCCTACTTCAGGAACCCAGAGTGGGGGCTGCGGGACACAGCTTTCTTGGAGGATTTGGGTCAGGCTAATGGCCTTTTCCTGGAGAACATGGTAGGTGGTGCTGGGTGAGGGGGCATGGCCTTTGTGGGGGAAAAGGGCCACTCCAGCAAAGCTTTTCTCCAGGTGGACATGCCAGCCAATAACAAGTGCCTAATTTTCCGGAAAGAATAATCCCTTTCCTTCATCTTGTATGACTGCATCGCTGCCTGAATTTCTCTTGGGCACAGACCAGATACTGGCTCCTGACTCCCTGGGCTAGGCTCTGAGAATGACCAGCCCCATCTTGTCTGGCCCATCGAGAGCTTCAGCCCAGCCGGCCTTGGAATAAAGTGTTTCTTGCTGTCCCCTTGTAGGTGTCCATCATGTCTCTTCCTGGGAACAGTTGGTAAGGGTATGTGTGGGAGGGATCTAACCTGTGCGGTCCTACTTGGGTATATCTTAAGCCTTGTTGCTGGAGAGAGGGACAGCCCAGGGACAGCTTCTGGCAGGTCACAGCTGTTCCCCAACCATGTTCCTGGAGACTCTGGAGGTCACCAGGAGTAAACTGGTGCTCCCTGGTGACCTGCTTGACCTGCTCAAAGGCCTAATTGGTATCAAGACTCCAGCTGCACAGCAGACTGAACAGTAGAGACACCTGAAAGGATCAGGGTCCCTGAACAGCACTAGTAGACATGAGCTCCAAGGATGAGAAGAGCCTTTATTCAGTAGAAGGGAGGCAGGAAGCGACACCACAGCTAGTCTTGGCAAGAGGAGATGGGCAAGGGAGCTAGTCCCAAGTGGGAGAGGACAACACAAGTTAGTCCTGAAAGCGGATAAACAGCTCACAGGCCTTCTTCTCTAGCAGCTCCAAGATCTTCTTGACGCGCTTCTCACTGGCAGCACGAACATAGCTGCCAGCATCCAGCATGGCCACACCATCATGTACTTCCCCCATAATGATCAGTGGCTCATCACCAGCTGTCACATTGGGGCAGGGGCAGGCCCAATCCATGCCACTTAGTGTCACCTCCAGGTACTTAGTGCCCAGGAGTTTGAGGCCCATTTTGTCATCCTTTAGCACATCATCAAGGGCTACTCTAGCAATGCCACCACCCACCTCGGGCTCCTCTAGCACCTCTGTGAGGCGCCCCACAATGGCAAAGTCGCTGTGGCATAAGCTCAGTACTAGCTTGCTCCTGAGGCGGCATGCCCGGCAGGGTGGTGAGCGAGGCACAGGGCAGGCCTCCTCACAGCTCTCACGGCTCTCAAAGTTATTGCCATTGCCCTCACAACCACCATAGGCAAAGGGCTGGCACTGCTGCAACAGTGGATTATAGGCCCAGCGTGGCTCCCAGCCCTGGCAAGGACCCTGCACAGCTGGCAGTGTGCAGGCATCCCTAGGGCCTCGGGCACAAGTCTGTTGACATGCCTCATACGTAGTGAAGCCTTGAGTGGCCCCAGCACACTCAAAGGCTGGAAAGGTCATGCAGCCACCTCGTTGTGGGTCAAAGTGCCAGAAGACTCTGTTTGGGGAGGTGGAACCAGCACAGGCCTGCATGTCTGGTAGGCACTCAGCCAGGGCTGGAGTGCCAGAGGTCCCTTCCTCAGCTGGTTCCCTTTGGATCACAGAAAGTGGGAAGTCAGCTCGCAGCAGGCCAGCAGCGTTGCGTGCAGTACAGGTATACAAGCCAGCATCCTCAGGCCGGGCATTGTAGAGCACCAGCTGCCCAATACTAGTGACCACCACATTGCCATACATCTGGTCAGGGCGCATGATCAGGTTTTCCCTCTGGTGGCTCTGCTTCTCCCAGGTCACAGCAGGTGGTGGGCGGCCAGTGACATCGCAGTGGAGGCTGGCTGTGCCCCCCACATGTACTGCCTGTGAGGAAGGGCTGTTGTAAAGGGCAGGTGGCATTGGGGCAGCCCCAGGTGTTGGGCGGGCAGTGGTCTCTGGTGGACCTGGACTGCTGGGTGGCCAGCTGAGGACATGCTTGCAAGGCACAATGTGCAGGTGGAGACCACGCAGACACGCCTCTGCGTCCATGTAGCAGCGGTTATAGTAGGTAAGGCCATCTGAGGCACAGGTGAAGCTGGGCTCCTTCTCACAGCGGTCACGGCAGCGGCACACGGGCTGCCCATCCCAGATGTCACAGTCGGAGCCCTGCTGTGGGCACTCAAAGCCCTCACAGGAGGCTGCCGTCACAGGTGCAGCTGGGCCACCATCAGGGAAGCGGGCTGCCACGCAGCTGTGCAGACCACACACATTGGTGCAGCACTTCTCAGCAGCTGTGCAGTCCTGGGGGATGCGGCAGCTCAGCAGGAGCCTGACATCCCTCAGCCTTCCCCCAATCTCTGGCCTTGCTCTAAGGCCACAGCCAATGAATTCCTTTCCCAAGATCTTTCCCCCTCTGGAAAGCTGGGAAAGTGCCTGCTGTCCAGTATTATGGGCTGTGAGGCCACTGTGCCATTTGCCATAACACCCTACATAGGGATCGTGATGGCTCCTATCATGTAGTTTAGTACGCCAATCCTGGGCTTACAGGCAGGACAGTGGCAGGACAGCTGACTGGCAGAGTGTGCACAGGCCCTGAGTCCCATCCCCAGAACTACATACACGCATACAAGGTAAGACATCTGACTGCAGTCCCCCAGCTCTTCTGTACCCACCCCTAGTGTTCCATGGCCCTGGGTGTGAGGGAAAGGCAGAGGCTCAGGCAGAATGCTATTTGAAGAGTAGGTCACAGGCCTGTGTCTGCTCTGGTGCCAAGGCAGGGGAAGGGGCAGGTTCAGGGGGCAAACCTGGCAGCCCAGGAGAGTAGGGAGGGGGTTTCATTCTTTACATATCTGAAGACAAAGATATGGTATCATCTAGACCTAATACAGGGCAGGGCCTAAAGCCTCACAAAGTGTGGAAAGGCCCAGGAGGAAGCAACTTATAGGGTTGGAGTCTCCTTTCAGGAAAAAGCTGGGAGTGGGTCCCCAATGCTCACCTGGTCCCCAGTGCACTCCCGCTCACAGGTGCTCTGGGCGTCCACCCACAGGCTGGGGCTCAGTTGGTTGGGGCACACTCCAGGGTGGTTTCCAGGCTCTGGCAGCAGACTGACCCCCGAAGCCAGCTGGATATTGAAGAACAGAGGCAGGAACAGCAGGAGTAACTGCAGGGTGGGCATGAGGATCACAGGGCCAGGGGGCAGGGGTGTGTGGCCACCAGCCCCTCCTTGGGTCCCCTTGGCACCCTGATTCCTGCAGGCATCCACTCCCTACGCCTGTAATCAGCTGGGCCTCCCTTGAGATGGCTGGCCCTCTGTAATGACTTTCCCAGCTCCTTTGGCCCCTGCTGGAGTCCACGGAGGTGGTAACAGATCCTCTAGCAGACTCTCTCCTGGCTCTAAGGCAGGAGGGTTCTGGAATCTTAAAGAGCTCTTAGAGTCGTCCATGCGGCGCCTGCCTCTCTCCCAGCCACTGTGGATGGCTCCCAGGCTCCAGTCAGCACAGAGCAGAGAGTGGGAGAGAAGGGGAGGGGCCAGAGAGGCCCAGAAGCTCAGAGCCACTGGCCAAGAGGGTCACCAAGAGGCGGAGAAGGGCCAGCTCTGGCCTGAGTGGGGGAGAGAAGGGGATGCTGTAACCTGAGCCACTCCATAGACCAGGCCACAGCCCAGCAGGGATCAAAGTCTTCTTAAAGACCCACCCCCTTGGCTCAGGGGGGAGGGTCAGGGCTGGCAGAGCTCAGCTTTTGTCCCAGAACCCCTGAGTCTCCCATGCACAGTAGGTTCAAGTATCCACCCCAACCCTACTGACCATTAGACCAGGTTTCACCCAAGAAGGTCCAAGTTGGTACCTGTCACCTATGAGTCCAAGTAAGTAAGGCAAAAGACTCCATCCTCAACCACCAGATGGTAAGATATTTCCTTCTGGAGTCTTCCATGACCCTTAGAGCTCCAGTTTCCCTAAAAGTTAAATCTAAACCCTGCTGGGGGGAGAGACCCCTCCCTTCTGATGGAGGGACAAGGCACAGCTGGACTTTGCATTCTTATGGACACACCCCTCCACTGAAGTTGGGCTCCAGGCTTCTGGCTCAGGACTCTGTCCCTGAGGCCCTTCCTCAATTGGGCCAAGCAAAAAAAAAAAAAAAGCAGGCCCCAGGGCTGGGGTGTAGTTGAGTGGTAGAACACTTGGCTAGCAGGCTTGGAGTCCAGGGTTGGATCCTTAGCAACACAACAAAAACGAAGCCTAGTGCTGGGTGCAGTGGCAGACGCCTGTAATCCATCCATCACTCAGGAGGATGAGACAGGAGGATCACCATGAGTTTAAGGCTACCCTGCACTACAGTGAGACCCTGTCTCAAAAATAAATAAATAAATAATAAATAAAGGAAAAAAAGAAAAGGCCAAGAGGCCCAGAGACCCGGGCTCATCCTGGGTGCAGAAGGACAGCCCATATGCATGCTGCCCACAGACATAATCATACAATCTGGAATGTGGCTCCATGTGATGACCCTAGGGATGGCCAACCCAAAGGCATCTAAGTGCAATCTCAAAGGAGCTAGTGTCTTCCAAGCCATTCAGTGACTGCAAGCACCTTGGAGTCTTTCCTTGTCCTACACCCACTCACAAGGCATCCATCCTCCAGCTGGACAAGAGGCCCCTCCTCCACAGTGGAGGGAGGGAGTCAGGCCCTCAGCTGAGATCAAACACTGGCGCTGGTGGCAGGACAAAGGATTGCCAGACTCTGCCCTTCCAAATCCCATGGCTCTAGAGGTCTGGGGCCCCAGGGAGTGGGTTTTTGAGACAGGATGGAGACTGTCCATGTGACCCTGTGTCTGACCTCCTGACCCAGAGACCAATATATTAAGAGGCTGGTCTGGCAAGAACAAGACCAAAAGATGGTCCCAGGTGGCAGTGTCTACAGCTGGGGTCAGCAGCTTCGATAAGGAGGGGTGAGGGAGGCTGACCTAGATCCTAGTTGGCGCATGAAAGAAGCTCTCTGTAACGTGGCAACCCCCAGCTGGGAAGAGCGGAGTGCTGCTTGAGGTCCACTATAGTCCTGAGGAACAGCACAGATGGTACCTAAGACATAAGCCGTGTTCCTGGAGTTTGGGGCCACATTCAAAGAGGTCAGTCCCACCCAACTCAGTTCAGCTCCAGGACATCTCACATACCCCTGACTGCGCAGGGCCTGGCAGAGCCTGTACTGTGGCAGATGCATTCCTGCAGAGGGTTCCTACTCTCAAAAGTCCTTGAAGCTGTGGCGGGTTGCAGTAAAATGGGCTAGGCTGGTTCCTGTCCCCTAGCAAACAGTGTGGCTTGCGACCAGGCCTGGCCGCCCCAGTCCACAATCAACCCTTACAGCCAGAGGTGTGAAACCAGCTGGCAGCTGAAAGGCCTGGTTACTTTGGGTCAGTGGACACAAAGCAGTGCTGTGGTAGAATACCATGGCCAGATAAAATCAAAGCCCAATATACAGAAAACCAAAGAGAGTCGTCACAGTTGAATTAGATTTACTGTACAATGAAGAACAGTTCAAAGAACCCAGGAATGGTGGAGTCCGACAGCAGCAGGGTAGTGTTGATACTGTGCACACAAGACCATGCAGGTCCTCAAAACAAAGTCTGTGCAATTTTGTTCATGATTTCAAAGAAAGGGCCCTTGCTGGCAGCAGCTGTACAGGTGAGTGGGGGAAATCTGAAGTCCGACGGGCAGGAGTCCTCTGCCTAACCTGCCTGCGGTCAGCCTCAGGGCCAGGGAGCCACTGGTATCAGGCAGCTCACACAACCACAGTCCTCTCCCTGATGGCATGACTCCCTTTACAGAATAATCCATGGTGCTATATGGCCATAGAGAGCAGATCCATCTCAGGACACATGAGGGTACTTGTGAGGAGGGCCATGGCCGAGGCAGGGCTCCTGCTGTGGCCATGGACCAGGGCAGGAGGTAGAGTTGAGCACCGTGTAATAGAAGGCTTTGTCATCAGACCAGGACAGAAATCAGTTAGAGGGTAATGTCCCCATGGAGATGGCTACCTAGGGCACAGAGGAGGAGGAGCACTGTGGAGGATTTGTCCATGGCTTCAAGAAGGGCAAGATGACCAGACCTTGCTGTGCTTCAGCATAGGGGCTGGCCAACGGTTCTTGAGAGGGTTTAGCATCCATTCTTGCCCACAGAGTAGATGAGGCTGCTATTCCAGGTTGTGACACTAAGAAACAGGCCAAAGAAGTTCCAATGATACGTGAGCTTCTGGTCAGAAGGGCTATGTCAGGCAAGGAGCAGCTACAGGAACATAGCTGAGGTTGATAAGCACAAGCTGCTAAGAACAGAGGCTGGACAGAGTTGGCCAGTGACCTGGACACCACTAGAGGAGCATAGGCTATGGCTCCATTTCACAAGTCTGCAAACAGTTCTGCTTCCTCAACCTGGAGGTACAGATCTGAGTCTGTGTAGTAAACATCACCAAAGTTGTCAAGTCACAATTGGGAGGGAACTACAGAGTGGCAAAGATGGGGTGTGTCCCATTTTTTCCTTCTCCTGAGTTTTAAGAGCTCCAATGTATAGGGATGACATCCACGGAGGGTTGGCAGGAGCTACATTCTTGGCTGTAGCACACTGACTACCCCAGTCAAAAATGAAGCTGGGGCCAAGATCACTGCAGAAGCTTCTGGAGGGTGCCTTTGCCCATCTGTTCCCCACTGGCCCCTCTGTACCTCCCAGACAAAGTGTATGCAAATCCAAAAATCATCCAGCTTTGCCATTCCTGCCACCACTGCCTTAAATCCTTCTGTAGACATGTGGAATTTGCCCTGTGGCTGTGACCCTGGAGAGGCCACTTCATCACATGGTTGCATCCAGGCTTTCCAGACAGCCCTTTAAAATACAAAATGAGTGAAATGTTCTCTGTATAAATAAGAAGGGGAGCTAGGGTCCCTCCTGGCCCAAGCCCACATAGCTGTGGCATTGGAGGTTAATTCAGATCAGGGCCTTGTAGCACCAGCAGCCCAGCTGCCCACAGGCCCTTCTGCCAGTCTAACAGAGCATGTTCTCCTACATGCTTCTCCTCTCTTCCCAGGCCAGGTGTGGAGGCAACCTGGTGCCTCCTAAGCAGGGCTGTGTGGCCAAGTCCTCATACACACAGCAGGGCCTAGTACCTGGTCAGGAACACCCCAGTGAGCCTCCCAGAGTCTGCACAGGTGATCCGCACTGGTACTGCTAGGAGATCTTGCAGTTGCTCCGAGAGCAGTTCTGGGGAGGGCTCTGAGGGGGACGGATAGATTTGGACCGCTTAAGGCTATTGCCTTTGCTGCTGCTGCCTCCGGCCCCACTGGCCAGAGAATAGGAACGGCCATGCATCATGACAGCATTCATGCCATTTGCCATTGAGAAGGACTTGAGGTGGCTCTTGATAGTGACAGGCAGTGGGAGCTTGTCGATGAGATGTACAGGAGTGCAGGAGACGATGGCACGGCAGCAGAGATCCTGCAAGCTGAACACTGGGGTGGGAGGAAAGAGGGGTCAGACAATCAGGAAGGGAGGTGAGGTAATCAACTAACTCTTGCAGTGAGTCACTCTGCAGCCCCTCCTGTTGCTCTTTCTAGCTTAGCTATTCCTAGTAAGGTCTGCAGGGGCACAGTGGGTATTCCTTGTGGGCAACACAGGCCCAGGAAACAATTGGGCTCTTCATGGCTCCTCTTGAGAAACAGGGACTTAGATGTATTACTCCCCTGTGTCTTCATATTAAGGTGACATTGTGACCACCCCTCCACCCACAGCATCAAAGGCCCTAGGTCCCATCTCCCTGAGAACCAGGCCAGAGCTGGGATTCTAAGTGGGGACCTGGCAGAGAATATGGCACAGAAAGAACGCTGCAAAGCTGCAAGTATGGCCTCTGTGACTGCCTAGCTGTGAGACCTTAGAGCGAAGGAGGACATAGAGGTACACAATTCCAGGTCTCATATGAGCAGGAGGGCAAAGAGATGACCTATCTACTGCTCAAGCCCCAGAAGGGCAGGGAAGATGACAACTTTTTTTTTTTTTTTTTGTATTTAGTGTAGGGTCCACAAGGTCTCACTATACATTGGACTCAGTGATTCTCCTGTTTTCAGAATCACAAGCGCTGGGATACAGGTATGTGCCACCACACCCAGTCTCAGTCACTATCTCAGTGTGCCCTGCGGGCGAGGCCAGCAAGGCTTCAACTCTTAAGAGCCACCTCCACTTTCACTCCCACAGTACAACCCATACCCTAAAGCTCACACTGTCCTGCCAGCCCCACCTCGATTAGGCCTCCAGATCTTCTCCATTCCGTGCCGCATGAGCACGATGCGAGAGAGTTCTGTGAAGGACTCGATGACGTTGAAGTTGCACAGGGGGCTGACCTCAAAGAAGGTCATGCAGTTCTTCTCTGCATAGGCACGAGCCTGCTCTGTTGGCACTTGCCGCTTGAAGGCCAGGTGCAGCCGGTTCCCAACTAGAATCCGAGGAACCCCAGGTGCATGCTGGGAAAGTGGCACAGAACTCAGCAGAGACACAAAAGCAGGACACTCCCCCCACCTCAGCCATGGTCAGGACCCCCACCTGTGTTCTATGGTGGGGTAGGCCTAGAAGGCTTAGAGGGGCCAGACTAGATGGCAGAATCCAGCTGCCCTTTATTTACCAAGGCTTATCCTACCTGTGGTGCAGCCATGGCCAGCAGTTATGCCCAGGTCTAGCTCAGACCTATACCTTCCCCTGGCGAGGCACAGACCCCCACCTACCTCATCAATCTCCTTGATCCACCGGTCGATGCCATCAAAAGACCAGCGGTTGGTAATGTCATATACCAGGAGGATGCCCTGCAAAGAGAGGCATATAGGTCATCCAAAGGCATAGCTGGGCCTGGGCTGGATTGGGGGTGTTTCCCAGCTAGAAGGGGTCTCAGTGCCTAGGCAGGGCCAGGAACAACAGCACTGCAGACAGACAGGAAATAGGAATGTGCCTGCCATTCAGTAGAAGCATGGGGAGGGACCTTCTGTGAGTAAGAATAGTCTGGCTCACAAATGCGGCTTCCTCCTACACACTTGGCTGAAATTTCCTTATTTTCTTTTTTTTGTGTGTGTGGTGCTGGGGATTGAACCCAGGACCTTATGATAAGGAAAGAAGTCTACCACTGAGCCACATTCCCATACCCAGACTTCTCAATATCTTTTCTCTAAGTATATCATAACCATTACTCTGAAACAAGGGCATGGTGACATAAACTGGCATTCCAGCTACTCAGAACAATGAGATGGGAGGATGAGAAGGAAGGACTTGGGTTTAAGGCCATCCTGGGCAACATGGTTGAACCCCATTTAAAAAAGAAAAAAAAAATCACAGAAGCTGAGCCACAAATACCAGGTCTGGGAGGTGGGCGCTGTGAGGGGCCAAAAAGCTGCAGGATGGGAGTTAAGGCCATCAACAAACTCCACCCCAGGGACACCTGGGGCAGAGCTGAGCTAAAGCATTTCTGAGTTTTCCAACCCAAAGCTTGCAGAGCAGGATGTCAGTCACTCTGAAACCATTTTCATGAGGGCTCCCACCAGACAGGATGATCAGAATTTGCTACGGGGTCTTTCCTGCCATATCCCTTAGAGACCAATTACTCCGAGCTCAGCTCTAAGCTGTCTCCGTCTGCCCTGAATATCTCAGCAGTGATACTGGCATGGGCTCTCCGCAGGCACTGCACAAAGCACACTGCCCACCACACGAGGTTACATGGCAATCCTGGATGTCCATTTTTTATCCTGAATCTGCTATCCAACTATCTATCTATTTATCTATCTATCTATTGTCTTTTTGAGACTGGATTTCGCTACACAGTTCAGGTTTGCCTTGAACTCACTTTGTAGCCTAGGCTGGCCAAGAACTTGTAATGATTCTCCTGCCTCAGCATTCTGAGTGCTGGTATGACAGACATGTACCACCATATCTGTGAGAGATCATCTTAAAATAAAGAGATATCTGCATCTCAAAATTTGGATTCCTATTATTGTCCCTCCTTCCCTCCCTCCCTTCTCTGCAGTGCTGGAGATAGAACCTAGGGACTTGCATATGCTAGGCAAACAATGTACCATGGAGCTAAACCTGCAACCCAGTGACTTTCCTCAAACACATCCTTACATTTCTAGAAGACTTAGGTATAGCCCTCAGGTCCTGTTAAGACAAAGGTCCAAACCACCTGATTCCCAGCCTTGCAATTCCTACTCGGTGGACAGTACAGCAGCTGGGGATGAAGCTCTCTATCCTGGAAGGAAACCCAAAGGCATACTGAGACAAACTTGAGACAGTTTGGCTGGTGGAAAATGGTAAGACTAATCACAAGCTAATGCATACCAATGAGTAAGCACTACTGCCTGGGTACAGGGATGCAGCTTCTCATTGGCTGCTTTGAGAAGGAGAGGGCAGAGCCACCTAAGGCCCAACAGCATACCCTCCAGGGTGGCAATCTGTCCCATAGGGATGTACATCTGGAGGGTGGTCCTTAGGAACATCCTGAGTGACTGGGGTTGGGGGTGTAGCTCAGTGGGACAGCACTTGCCTAGCATAGTCCAAACACAGCAAACATAACAAAACAAAGGCCCACTCTGAGACAGGCGAGTAAATGAAGGAAGATTGCGCAGACAATACAAATAACAGATGTATTTTTTCACAAAAAGATGCACAGTAAGTTATGAGGTAAGACATACAGGTCCCAAACTATATGGCCAGTATAATTTCTTTTCTTTTCTCTTTTCTCCTTTCTTTCTGAGAACTGGGGATTGAACTCAGGCCCTTGTGCTTGCCAGGCAAGTGCTTATTCTGCTGAGCTATTTCCCTGGCCCTTTTTTTTTTTTTTTCTTTTAGATAGGGTCTTGCTATGTAGTTCAGGCTGGCCTCAAACTCATAGCAATCCTCTGGCTCAGCCTCCTGAGTGCTGGGATTACAGGTGTGTGCCACCACACCTGGCTAGTATGATTGAAAAAAAAATTAAATAATAAAAACATACAAACAATGCTTCCCATTGAAGGTTTATAGGACACAACATAATGGCATACTGCTGGGTAGTGGGTGGATTTTTTTGCTTTTGATGACCCACATTCTCTGCAATGACTATCATTCCTGTCACATTTGAAACACATGAGCAGAAGGCCCACCTGCTGGGCTGGAGAGTCAGTTCCAGATCCTACTCCCTGACCCCCACCCCCATCCCTACCCTGGTTGTCAGAAGCCCTGCCACCTTGCCTGGCCAACACCTGTATTACCAGCTCTTTATAGGACTGCCAAAGTCCAATGAATTGGGTTATAAGCAGAAAGCACATGAGGAAAAATGACAGGGAGTGGAAACAAATTGATCATGATTTGCCAGGGAAAATTATCTGGGATGACTCACAAAGCAGGAGAACTCAGACATCAAAATGATGTTTGTTTTTATCAGGACTGGCCCCACAAAAATTCCACTATCAACTGTCTCAAACAGGCAGAACAAGGGCCCAACAGACTCTTCTATCATATTCTGCTTCTTTTTTTTTTTTTTTTTTTTTTGAGATAAGGTCTCACTCTGCAGTTCAGGCTGAGCTTAAGCTTACTATGTAGCTCAAGCTGGCCTTGAATTGGCATGGATCGTCTTTCCTCAGCCTCCCGAGTACTGGGATTACAGGTATGTGCCACCATGCCCAGCTTGGTATTCTGCCTTTTTAATAATGAAAGTAAATACATTCTTTGACTTTTTATTTTTTAATAGTACTGGGATTGAACCTAGGATCTTGAGCTCTTTCCCCAGCCCTTTTTATTTATTTTAAATTGTTTGTTATTTATCTTTTAAGACAAGGTCCTAAGTTGCAAAACTGCCCAGACTGGGTTCAAATTTATGATCTTCTTGCCTCAGCCTTTCATGACTCCTGTGATTACACCCAGATACATGCTCTGATTTTAAACCTAATTAGTGTTCTAGGGCATAAATAAATACAGGCTTTCCCCTCCTCTAGCTGCCCACACCCATCTGGGAATAACCCTGGACAACATTTCTCAAGTAGGGCCAGGGAGATAGATAGCTCAGTGGCATAAGTGTCTGCCTGCCAACCGCAAGGTCCTGAATTCAATCCCTGGTACAAAACAAACAAACAAACAACCCCACAAAACAAAACCTCATGTCTTCTACATGTCCCCACCCCATGTAGCTCAATGCCCACAAAAAAACCTGGCACCAGGGTTGATGGGACTGCACACCAGGCTCCTTAACTAATCTTGTTCTATTCTTTTTTGGTTGTTGTTGGACTTAACCTGGACGTAAGGAAGGGTTCCCTTTCGGTTGTGATTTTTATCTTTTTTTTTTTTTTTTTTTTTGTGGTTGGCTTAGCCCATCCTGAGGGTAAGGCTGGCACGGCATGTGATGCCAGGGATGGAACCGCAGTCCCTGCACATTTGCCTAAGCAGATACTTTAGACCACTGAGCTATCTCACCACCTCCCCTATTTTTTCTTTTCTGAGACAGGTCTCATTATGCAGAGGCTGGCCCAGTGCTCACTTTTGTGGTCTCAAACTCATAGTGATCCTCCTGTCTCAGCCTCCCGAGTGCTGAGATTACAGGTGTGCAACCCCCACATCCGGCTCTTTTTTTTTTGAGACAGGATCTTGCTATGTAGTTTAGGGTGGCCTTGAATTTACTACATAGTTGTCTTTTTACCAGGTCAGACTGAGGAAGTTCGCTTGAAAATTGGGCAGCCTGAAGAACAGACAGAATGGAAATGTCTGAACTTGCCTTTGTTTCCAGCTGCTTAGCTCAGGTGAACACAACTTGCGGCTGTTCTCGGGCTCCTAACCCGCCCACTCTCATAGCAGTCCTCAGCCACTTAAGTCTTCTGCCAGCTCTGTGGTCATGAGCCAGTAATGCCTTTGGTTACCTAAGTTACTGACACTGGCCAGCATCAACCCTGGTTATATTAGTTATTTACAATGACACCAACAAAGTCAGCCTGAACTGAAATCTTGCAATACTGGACTTACTATCCATCAGAACCACGTTCCAACCTAAGTATAACCATCTTAGGCTTCATTTTCCTTAAAATCCACCCCTCTTCAGGCTATGGGGTATGATTTTTTTTTTTTTTTTCTTTTCTTTTTTCTTTCTTTCTTTTTTTTTTTTGTCTTTTTGAGACAGGGTCTCACTATGCAGCTGGTCCAAGGCTGGAAGCCAAATTAGCTCTCTGGCTCTTTGCAAATGTCTAACCTGGTCCATTTTCTTGGGACCAGGCCTATGCCCTCGGTATCTCTAAGGACCTGAGCACAGGGGCTTTTTCCTGTTGGGCTGTCCTCACTCTGGATGGTACCTGTGGGAAATAGCAAGTGGTTCTCTTCTCTGAGCAAACCCCTTTTTTTCTTATGTACTTTGGTGCAGTATACAACCTGTAAAACTGTTACAAGATGGCTCTGCTGGTCTTTTTATTGGCCCAGCACTGGCTGTGTCTTGGCCTGACCCATCTTACTGTTTTTCCACTTGACCTGGCCCCACTTGGGCTGATGGCTAAGTCACCCTGTGGCTCTTTATACAGAAAGACATAGTTCTTTGTATAGCACCTGTCAGTATATATGGTAAGGGGACTCTCTTAAGTAATCATTACCTATATGGCTCTCAGCACAGTCCATTGACTAATCTGTCTATATCAGCACCAAACTAAAATACTATGTTACTGGATACACAACCACAGCTATCTATTGTGGGGCAGACCCATAGCTTGACCTGTCCATATACCAGACACTTGTTGGTATCCATAGCTGGCACTCCTTGTAGGGATTTTCCTCTGGCTTCTTGGGTGGATGGGACAACAGTACAGCATTA